TCATAGCAGCTGGTGCTCCTGTGATTCCTCACAGTTCCTCTAACGGACTGTACCACCTCTCTCAACCCTGTGTCCCTCCCTTCTCAGGCAGACACTCATGCTCATCTCTGAACTTCTACAACATCAAAGTGAAGAACACTTCTGTAATGTGAAAGAATAGCATGACTATTTCTATTTTTTTATTTTTATTTTTTATTTCTCAAAGGGAGTTAACCTCTTGTTTGCTATCCAGGGCTTTAGTAGACAAACTTATTCTCTTTCTTAACCCAGACCAACAGTGCTTTGGAACATCATGGAAACAGCCAGCTTGGTCACTTTGAAAACCAACCACCCCCTCAGGTGTGTATGTTTTTTAGGGAGCATGTTGAAACTTTTAACTGGAGTTTCTGAGTGATGAAAAAAGTGATGATGAATTAATTTATCCTAACATTTTTGGGCCACATACGCATTTGGACATCTGATGAATACTGAGGACCTACTCTCTTAAAAAAGGTACATACACACCAGCTTTTATAAACAAGTTGATGGGCTTGAGGCACCTTTCAGAATATCTTGGAGAGCTTAATTTGTTTGCACAACTGGGTACTGATTTGCACTGGTTTGCTGGAGGCAGCAGGGGTTAGAGGTTGGGCAGAGGTCTTCACAGGAAAGAAAGCAGCTAGAACCAGAGTGTGGGTTTTTAAATCTCTCCACTCCACATTATTCATTTCGTGGTCTAGACTCGAGTAATGCTATTTCTGGTGCCAATCATGAACTACTTGTTCCCATTCCATGACATTATACATGTAGAAAGTGGGAGTAGGTTTTTAAAGGTACTTTTTGGACCACAGAAAGCACTCAACAATGTTGGATGGTTTTAGGCAAAAAGAAGACTGTGTCAAAGAGCCATCAAAAGTGGCCACCCTGGGAGGGAGCCTCAGGAACTAGGAAAATCCAGGAATGCACCTCCAAGTCCTTGACAAGTTCTACCTGGATTGATCTGCATTGAAGCTACTTTCAGGGATCATCTTGCACTTCCATCCCAGGACAGTCAGCAAGTGTCCAGAACAGTCCTCCATGGAAAGCCTGGGATGCAGCACTGAGTCATCCCCTTCCCAGGAGCGCTGGCTCAGGCTCTCATTCATGTCCCACAACCACCTCGGTAGCGGTCTCCATGATACAGATGGTCCACTAGGCTAAGTGAGGACAGTAATACCAGCAGCAGCAGCAGCTAATATTTATTAAGAACTTACTGTGTTTAGACCTCATGCTAATACTCTGTATCTATAAACGCATGCAACCCACAGCAATTCTAGTGATGCAGGTGTGAGTCTGCCCATTTTATAGATGCAAGGACTAGAGTGCAGAGAAATTTATGGACCTGCACCTGCTGGAAGGAATTCAGCTACTGTGTGGAAGAGCTGGGATTGGAACACGGATTTATTGCTACCAAGCCCGTGCTGTCAAATACTCTGCTGTATTACATAAAGTACAGCAACGTCCTTCATAAAATCAACAACTATTTTATGCAGAGGCCCTTGTCCATCTCGCCAGGAGGTTTCTTCATATGTTGGGAGGCTCTCTGTTCTTCCATTTAGTACATCTGCATCTTTGCAACTTGACCTCCGCAGCACCATTTTACAGTCTGCGCTCACGTTGGGGAATGTTAGTAAGGAAAAGGATGTTTATTCATCACCAGATCGTGTAGCTCCGAGGCACGAGAATCCTGTGAGTTGGGAGAACAGGCCAAACCGAAGATGAAGGAAGCGTTTTTCATGCAGACAGAGAGCCTGGAGGCTCAGATTTATTTGACATTCGCCAAGTAGACTTCCACATGTTGTTTATGGCCGATTGAAACTTGTGTCATACCGTGTTTTATGATTCCAGATGAACAAAGCAGAGAAGAGTTCCCAAAGGGAAACTGAACAGGTGCTTGGGGGCTCAGGGCATTTATTCAGTTATACGGTGAAGGGTATCTGTTTGATGGTGGAATCATTAGAGTCAGGGTTGGAGCATGCTTTAGTGGTTTCTGAAAGAAAGCTAGGATGCTTTTCTTTCCCCAAACATCCTCTTGTAAAAGTGTCCTTGACGCGGAGGGCTTTGACTGCCTCGGGGAGCAGCTGCTGTCACGACTGCCAGGAGGGCGGTGGCACGTGTGAGCGGAGGCTGCTGTGGGGTGTCCAGGCCCAACACAGCCCGGTAGACAGTGGTGGCTTTTTGGTGGTAATAATGATGACATACAGGTTTATGCTTTGGAAGCTGTTAGTTCTCATTTCTCGAGAGGGTCATGGCTCTGGGGACACAGAGTAACTTGGAAGCTTTTGACAAGAAAAATCTCTGGATACCCTTTATTAATTCGCTTAGCTTAGCTTGGCCTTACCAAGGGGAGATTCCAAGTTCACCCCAATTCTCTGACTCCTTCCCAACTGGCCTGGAAATCATTAGTCTGAAATAAATTCCATCTTAATTTTTTTAAAACTAGATACACATGAGTGACCTGGTTTTAAAATATGAATCACGGTGACCTCAGGCATCTAGTACAGCTCCTTGCACATGGTATGCATAAAGAAATAGTTGTGAAATAGATGCTGTTAACTGCTTTCTGGTTGGGTCCTAATGAAATTCTAAAATACATGTTTCATTGATAATTTTTTTTGGTTTGCATGAATGGGTTCTATGCTTTGGATCCAGCATGCCTGCTATATAGGTCCTGTTGAATATGTAGTGTCTGCTATTCATTTGCTTATTCTAAAAATATTTAATATATCTCAAAAAATCCTGGGCATATTGAATTACCATGTATTCTCTAAATATACTTAATATATCTCTAGTACATCCTGGGCATATTGAATTACCATGTAATTCAATTATTATAAAACCCTGGAGAAAAGTATGGAAATGAATAGGGTTCCATGCTTTATTTGTATTTCACTCAGATATATCTTGTATTTTTCAGTGGTGCTAAAAAGTTGAGGTTGGATATGCTAAGACATGTCTAATTTAAAAAGCTTGATTTAAATTTCCACTTAAATTGAATGAGCACTGAAGACTTAGCAGTACTGCAAGTGGGTTATTTTATACTAGAGGTCCAGTGCACAAAATGCACAGGTAGGGTCCCTAGGCAAAGCTGATTGGGGCCTTCCAACTAACAACTGGGGCCTTCCTTTGCTTCATGTCGCCCCCTGGTGGTCAGCACATGTCATGGTGAACTATTAAACTCCGGAGTTGGAGCCAAGACCGGTTTGGCTCAATGGATAGAGCGTCGGCTTGGGGACTGAAGGGTCCCAGGTTCAATTCTGGTCAAGGGCATGTACCTTGGTTGCGGGCATATCCCCAGTAGGGGGTATGCAAGAGGCAGCTGATCGATGACTCTCTCTCATCGATGTTTCTAACTCTCTATCTCTCTCCCTTCCTCTCTGTACAAAATCAATAAAATATATTTAAAAAAAAAATAAATAAACTCCGGAGGGGAGAATTTCCATATTAGGCTTTTATATATATATAGATTAGGCTGGTGCAATTCCTGTAGGATGTCAACCACAGACACTTTCCTGGTGTCCTGAAAAAATACCCTGAAACTGTACAACTTTAGATAGGGTGACCATGTGATTTATTGTCCCAACTGGAGCAATTTTAGGAGTTAATGAAATTAATTATATCATTGCCACAGGAGAAAACTGGACCCTCTCAGGCAAATAGGATCCTATAGTCATTCCAGGAAGGGCTCAGGAGCAGTCACATTTCAGCCTGCTTTATCTTGTGCATGTTCCTCTCTTTCTAGGTGTCTGTTTATTCAGATGAAAGTAAAAGGGTTGTACTATTGTATAATAATCCTTACTATTTCCTAAGAATCCCAACATTCTGTGATTATGAATAGTGTCAAAGGGGTCTCAGCATATTTTTGAAACCTCTTCAAAGTAAGAGGCAGCTGCATAGAGAAGCACATGAAACACTCTTCCTCTTATCCCCTTTTCAAAACTACACAGTTACAAAGGCTTACATCATATTTTAAACACATCAACACTTACTTCAGGGCTGGCAAGCATTTCATCTTCACTACCTGAAGGACTGTGTTGGGGAGGATTCTGAGGACACCTGGGCTCAGCGGAGAAAAGGATCTTGATCAACAGTAATGGCCTCTGGGGTCATGGGAACCAGAGAGGGAAGTGGGAAAAGTTATAGGACCCGAGTGTGTGTGTGTGTGTGTGTGTGTGTGTGTGTATACCAATCCTGTCATAACTATTCTAAAGTATCTGATACTAAAATAAAAACAAATAATAAAAACCCTTTTCTTGCATTTAGGGCAAACCTGCCTCATACTGATAGCTAACACTGTGTTTGTCTCACCTAGAGATTTTCTCCTCCTTGATTCCACACCCTTTCAGAAACACTCAAGTAGCAGAGTAGAAGGAGTGGTCCCGACCATGGCTGCCTGTTAGAATCCTGTAGGATCTCTGGGAGTGGAGCCCAGTCTTCAGTGGTTTTAACAACCCCTAGGTCCCTCCACCAATCCAGGCTAAAATGGGACGGGGGAGTCTGAGCACCAAATTCCAGTCCTTGTCTTTAGCAATGCGTGAGACCTTAGCTGTATCACTCATCTGATCGCAGTTTGTAAAATGAAGTTGGACCCTTAGGTATTCTCTAGCTCTAACTTACTGTGACTAACAAATGAGGTGAATAAAATCACAGTGTGTTAACTCAGACAATGTAAATGTTCTCCTCCTTATAAATTCAAGGAAAGCTGATGTTGTCAAAGAGATAAATCTACAGCAAATGATCAGCGAACAAACACATCTCACTCTCCCATACAGGAACAATCACGATTTCTGGAAAGAAGCTGCTCAGTTATACAATACCTGTAACAGGATCCTTTTTTTGGTTGTGCTCTCAAATGATTTTTTTCTAGACACTAGAGACCCATCGGCCTAATTTACTATGTCCAATGCATTTTGCAATTGTTCACAACTCTGACTTCAGCAGACCTTTCAGCAAGCCCACTGTTTAGCAGCTTGATGTCTTACCTGAGTGACAGCGACGTTTGTCCCATCTGTGACTTCCACAGTCATATTGTAAATGGATCTCTGCTCTGCATCCAGAGGTTTGGCAATGACAATGGTCCCGACACCCTTCTCTGCGTCAAAAGAGCTGTCAAAATTCCCCCCTGATGATTTCACAAAAACAACATCAAATTAGCATATCTGAGAAGTTATTACATGGGTTGAAGCACATTGCTCTAAAGTGAGCTCTTATATAATAATATTTTTGACAGGCATCCTTATGTTTTAATTTTGTATATCTAACTTAATTCATATTGTAAAACACAGCTGCTACAATACATAACAAATGTCACCCCAAAATAATGTATTGTAAAGAAAACCTCAGCACTAATGCTAAGAGTAGTGAAGCATAAACTGACTCCATAAAATATTAATAAAACTAAAGACCCATAAACCCCTCATAGCTCCTGGGTTAGGAATTTGTATAACCTTTTGCTTTTCCAAAGTAGGTTACATTCTAAATAAACTGTCCAGTTATGATGAACAAAAATGAGTAGACAGTCCTAAATCTATTCCAGGATTGATGGTAAACATTTGGTTGCTAGAATTCAGAGTCCCCCCCATCACATGCCAAAAATAAAAATATAAATACTGTGGCAAAAGAAAAAGCAAAACAAGAGAAGAATTTCATATAAAATTTTTTATCTCTGCAAGTTGGGATATTTATAGAAATGTTTTTATGCTATTTTGACAATGTGAATTATTTTTCTCCCTCCAAAGTAGAAAGTCTATGGGAGACTTAAAAAATGAAAGAGGTTGAGAAAAAGATTAGCTTATGTATATCAAATTATAAAACAATTAACTAAGAAAATTTAGAAAACTATACTTGTCCCCTCCTGGACCAGGTATAATCTATAATCTGTGAATAATGTACTGAAGACAATACAGGCCTTGCAAACTTATTATAGATGTTTTCCATTCCTGTGAACCAAAATGTGGTTTATGACTTTTCCAAAATGAAAGATCTATTTTTAGGGGAAAGAGAAGATAATGGTTTATACCATTTATAGGCTAGAACAATTTTAATTAAATATCAGTATATGTTTGCAAGCTCTATTTATTTTTGTCTGAAATTTCATGATGTGAATTTTGCTCCTAGACGGTAATTTTATTTAGCTACAGCTCACTGGGCAATGCATTTACTGAATTTCCTATTTCAGAAAAGAAATCTCGAGTTCTTTTTACAGTCAGCATTCTTTTCCTTTCATTTTGCTGATCAGTGAACAATACTATATACAATTTTTATGATATTACAAGTGAGCAGGTGAGTTCAGGGAGAGGAGAATTTTACTTGAATTACTAGAATTTGATATACAGTGACACAGAATAAATACAGTAACTTCCCCCCCTTGTCCACAGGGAATAAGGGGAGACTCCTTATCTAGATGCAGGAAATCCAAGATAGTACTGAACTCTGAATACACTATGATTTTTCTGACACATATGCCTATAGTAAAGTTTCATTTATAAATTAGGCTAAGAGATTGATAACATTAATTCATAATAAGATAGAACAATTTTAACAATATATATTTTGTAATACAAGTTATGTGAATGTGATCTCTCTCAAAATACCACCTACACCACTCACCCTTCTTCTCGTGATGATGTGATATCATACAATGCCCAAGTGAGGTGAATGACATAGATATTTTCAGAACAAGGTTGACTTCAGGTAACTGAGACCAGAGAAAGGGAAATCATGGCTGAGGGGACACTGCTGTACCGTGATTAATGAAGAAAAAAAAAAACACACAAAAAACCTGGTCACACATATCTCAAATGCTTATTGCTTGCAGTTGTCATATACACTTAAAATTATTTAATTGCCAGAGAGAGCCCTTGACATTTCATTAAAGTCATGGAGATACAGGGGTACCACTGAATTTCTTGGAAAAGGTACATTTTTCAAAAATTTCATCTAAAAAAGAGACTCATCTTCCAATTAATATCTTTAACTGGTTTACTGAGAACTTAATGTTAATTATAAATTTAAAAAGAGTATTTTGAAGATCAGGATAAGGAGAAAGGGGAGAAAATCTAGGCTGAAGAGGGAAGCAAGCTCTCAGGTGACCACGTCTTCTCCGAGGAGGATGTCTCATGTGGATTACCACGTGGAATAAAATGTAAGGCTGATTCGAGGGTCTGAAATAAAGATCTTAATGAGCAAAGGAAAATCATTTGCTATTGAGTGGTACCTTCTAAAAAATAACTTTGCCAAGGAAACTTTCAAATCTCCTCAGACTTGTGTAGGAAAAAAAAAAGATAAGAATGCAACTTCTTAAGACATTAAATCACATTTCAAATCAGTTTTAGAATGTTTTCTTAACTAAGAATTATAGTAGCTCTGGTTTAACTTTCAACTGTAATCCGAAAACATTAAGTGGAAAATTTCAGAAATAAACAATTCATAAATTGCTTGTTGTTAGTGTGATTAAATCCTGAACTGTCTAGCTCTATCCTGCCCTGGGCATGAGCCGCCATCTCTATATCCAGAGTATCTATGCTATTTATGCCTCCCTTGGTTATCTCTAACTTGCATTCAAATAACCCGAATTTGACTTAATTAATGGCCCCAAAGCACAAGACTGTTGATGCTGGCAAGTGAGATATGGCAAAGAGAAGGCGGAAGGTGCTTCATTTAAGTGAAAATGTAAAAGTTCTCAACTTGGAAAGAGAACAAATCTTGTGCTGAGCCTGCTAGGATCTGTGATAAGAGTGAAATTTCTATTTGTGAAATTGTGAAGAAGGCAACAGATACATGTGCTAGTTTTGCTGTTGCACCTCAAACTGCAAAAGTCACCGTCACAATACATAGTAAGTGCTTTGTTAGGATGGAAAAGGCATTAAACTGTGGGTAGAAGACATGAACAGAAAACGGGTTCCAACTGATGGCTTTGTTTTGTGCCAGGAAGGATGTCAGCAAGGACCCCTGAAACAAGTGACGCCAAGCCCTTTATTGCAAGGAAGGGCAGGTTACACAGAGTCAGGACAAGGTTTAGACTGAAAAAAAAAACACAAACTGTTGGAAAGACCACATTCACATAACTTTTATTACAATACATTGTTGCAATTGTTCTATTTTATTATTACTTTTTATTGTGAATTTCATACTGTGCCTAATTTATAAATTAAACTTTGTCATAGATATGTATGTACAGGAAAAAACAAAAACAAAAACAAACCAACAGTATATATAGAGTAGGGTACTATCCACTATTTCAGCATCCACTAGGGTCTTAGACATATCTCCCTAGGATAAGGGGAAACTATACTATATTTTCTTAAGTCTGAGGACACGGATTGTTTTTGGGTGTGAAGGAGGATGGAAAAAGAGGTCACCTTTCAACATCAATTATTTTAGAAGGCAAAAATTTATAGAATAAGACAAAATAGAATTTATGCAAATTATAGAACTTTGGATTAGAGAACATGAAAGCAAAGATGTCCGGTTTCAGTTATTGTCTAAATGGGGCAATCCTATATGTGCTCCCTCACCTACTCAAGACTCACATTTTCCTTGGGGTCCTATGCAGACATACATGGTCATTTCATGTGCTTAGAGGCATAAAATGGACTTATTTTATATATGGCATATACCTAGTAGATTGTGAGCTTTATTATTCATTATTTGTCCTATCAAATAATATTTCTGGCTACTTTTAGGGCTGTAAATTTTTGTAGTTCTCTCTCTTCCTCTGTGTGTGTGGTGTGTGTGTGTGTGTGTGTGTGTGTGTGTGTGTAACCTTCATTCACCTTTACTGTTTCAAATATTCTAGAACAGAAACCTTTAAAGGGGGTCAGGGAGACAGACAAGCAAAAAGCAGACCAAGGAGCGCCTGAGAGAGCCTGTGAGGTGGCTCCCAGTCCATCAGCAGGGCTCACAGCCACTGAACATCGCCTCCAGGGCGTTTGCTCCCAGTTAAACCAAGGTTTCATGTAAAACAAGGTTCCCAAAATCTTGCCTTTTGTTTTAAAATGAATTTCTGACAGGGGACACTGAGCCTAGACCAGCAGTTCACCATCAACCCTCACACAATTTAATAGCTACCACTTAAGCATCCCATCTCATAAACAACTCCATCTCCACCCCCCCGGCCCCGCCCCCCAACCCCGCCCCCAGGGCTCATTTTTTCAGGCTCCTTTATAGCCTGAAAGGTGATTTCATTTCATAGCAATTCATCTGGGGCGAGACTCTCAATGGAAGGAGCCCATTTCCACTAGCAGCCTTCCCTTTAACCAAGCGGTGCTTCCTCAGAGCCAGTAACACAACATGCAAAGCCAGAGTGAGCTGCTGCGGCAGCCTTAGCTCAACAAAAAGGGGGAGAAGAAAGGGCACCCCAGCAAAGGGTCCGAGTGTCAACAAAGTGGGGAAGTGGGAAAGCCACAGCCCGGGCGTCGCTGCAGGGGTGTGCGGCAGAGATGGTTAAAGCGAGGTTGTGAACAGCCCACAAAACAGATAAGTCACGTTGGGGACATTCCTGTGACTGTTTCCCATCAAGACAGGTGTAACGGGGTCAACAAAGAGCAGAGGAGGTATCTTAGATATCTACTGGGTTCTAAAATTAAATACAGCAAGACAGAATGTCTTAAAAACTTTTTAAAAAATGGGACAAGTACAAAAATCCCATGAGCCAGCAGCTACTGCTTGACTGTGCTGGGCAGCAGGATGTTGGGCCACAATTTGGTCATTTTTCTTTAGGAAGTGCGCAAGCATCACCATCTCCCCATGGTGAGACCCAGTGGTGAGGATCACACCGCTTCCTTCTCAGAGAAGTTTCCGGGCCCCTCCCCTAGCATATGATCCCATTCCACTCTCCGTGCAATTGCAAAAATATCAAGCCAAACCTAGTAGTCACCAAGGGGGATGTGTTATTGGAGAAGCATCCAAAACACGGAGCTGCTGAATCTCAATGAATTAAGGGAGTCGTTCACAAGCTGTTCATTCAAGCTCCGCGTGTACACGGAACTTAAGGGGAAAGTGCTAAACATTTGATCGTGAATAATTTTCTGCCTTGGAGCGAAGCAAGCACAGCACGAGGCTGAAAAGGGCATTTACATGGCGGGCAGGAGAGGTGGGGTGGAGGGCAGGAAACAGTGGTAG